CCATCTATACCTCTTCTTTTCTATTTATTAATATATTCGCCTTTGTGCTATATATATATATATATATAGTAGATAGAAATAAAAGGTAATAGAAATGGAAAGGGATGGAAAGGAAGGGAATAGAAAGTGAAAGGAATAGAATAGGAAAGGGAGATGGGAGGCAGAACTGGAAAAGGGGATCCTCTCCTTTGGGCGGCAAAGCCTCCTGGATTGGTCAGTTGCCTCTAGAGACTCCCTTGCTGGGCCGGCTGGTCCAGCCCTTCAACCGTAGTTGGCCTGCGGCAGGTAAGCCTTGTGTCAGGATTTATCTTCTCTGCTCTCTTCTACAAGTGCAAAAGCAGTGATCACATTCCAATATAAAAACTACGGCTTAAAGGTCAATAATGAAAATGCAAGTCTAGCATAGAGCCTCATGACATCATTATTTTAGAGTTTTGTGTCCATGGGAAGCTGTAATCTAGGTCTATAAGGTCCTCAATGATGAAATGCATTGTTAGTTCCATTCATTGTTTAATCTAACTTGTTTTAATTACATTTTTACTGTTCTATTAAGACTTGGAGTCTCTATCAGAGTCCACATTAGCACATTATAATCTATTAGCTATATAGTTAAGACCAGCAATTTCTGCATTATCTACCATGTGAAGAAGTTTAGAGTTCCATATCATGAATGTTTACATGCCTAAATATTGTAGTAATGCCTGCAATGTTGAAGCTTCTCACTTCTCAGATTTCAGCATATCCAAAGACAACAGCTGTGCTTGTGCGGAATCATGGTATATACGTCTGGGGAGATTCTTGGATAAGTGCCAAGACTCAGGTTTGTTACTCTTAATTTTAGAATTTTCTTTCTTTTAAATATAATTTTTATATTTATATCGCTCTTTCCTAATTGAATCAAGTTATTTTTCTAATTTTTTTGCATGAATGGCCGTCTTCTTCTCCACTGAATCCACTACACGCTTTTTGGTTTTCCCACTTCATGCAGCAAGCTTTACATCTACTTTTTTATAAACATATTTTTCAAATCCACCATGCAGCAAACTTTTACTGGGCCAAAAAAAAAAAAAAAAAAAGAAAAATACGAATATATATATATATTTATATATATTATAGAAAGCCCAAAAAGGTTAGTAGATTAACTAGAAAGAAGGATACAGATACAATGTGTTGAAGGACCCAAACATGACACCCCGTCCACACTAAAACCACAAGTGGTTCCAAAACTAGAAAATACAGAAAAGTACAGTAGAGACATAAAGAAAAAACCTAAAAATGTTAAAATACAAAATATCAGGTGGCTAGAGAGCAATCCAATTTGGTTTTCCCTCTGCCTCTGGTGGGAGCAGGCTAATAAGGTGGTAAGATGTTTGCCATTGCCAGTAGTAACCAATATATCATCCACTATGTTCCCTAGCTGGAGTCGGCCTCCATTCTTCTTCTTCCTCCTGGAATAGACCTGCCATTCTTCTTTCGAAGATTGGCTCACCTGATCTTGGTCTAAAGTGTGTTGGAGATGTGTAAATTGTTGAATGTTAGAAGCAACGGTATGTTGTACCAGTTGATCTGCTATTGGATCAAAGGAGCACTTTTGTGTGTCTTGGCATGTACGTGAGTCTTTATTCAATAATAGTGGGTGGTGTAAGCACAACTCGATCTGTAGCTGTAGTATGTTGTTCTTCTTCAGGAACTGCGGTGTTGGGAAGAGGATCGGGTTGCATTTTCTCAACAAGGATAATAGTTGGCTGTTCTTTAGTGATATCCGACCTTAGATGAGGATGCAAACGATAACAAATAGTAGAGTTGTGACTAAATATATTACAATGAGAGCAATAAGCAGGGTGTGGTTCGATTTCAACCATTTGTCGATACCCGTTGCGCCCGTTGCGAGTGGTTTCACTCCACACCTCATTCGGAGCATGTTGAGTGATATCTCTCTCAACTAACACACAAGTCATAGAGGGTCTGGTGATAGCAAGCGTAAGACTATCAGCCCTGAGAGACTTACCGTAAGCAGTTGCTAAGGAGTAGAGAATTTCTAAATTGAACAGATGTAAGTTTAACCGCAGAAATTTTATCCAAACTGGAATGATAGGGGACTCAGCCTTTAGGTCGAAACTAACAGTCTACTTCAGAATTTTCATATTACGGTTATCGATCTTGATAACTTTCCGAGAAAAGATGCCAGTATAATCAACATCATGAGACAACTGAATCAGTATGTGCCGACCGTCAAGTAAACCAATATTCCAACTGCCCAATAGCTTCATAGTCTCAAACTCTTTCTGAGTGATCTCCAATTTTGGGTTACTATATAGAAATTACCCCATTAGAGCAAAACGTCAAGAGGACGCGAGAGTACTGGTTTCAACCTCTGTGAGAATAAGAGCAGACTTCCCAATTTTTTTCCCTAAATTTTTTATGAAGGTGTGATCGCCACCACCTTCAAGAGCATCGTGAAAAGATTGAGGAACATTGTAAGATTTACCTATACGAAAACCAGTCTCTGATTCTGAAAGAGAAGCACGAGTAGGAATCGAGAGGTCGCTGGTAAGTGCAGTAGCATAGGAACGAATAGCCATCTCTGCCGAAAAGATTCTGTCGGACAAGAAGTGAGGAGACGTCGTCTGAAAGGAAATGCGAAAACATGGGCAGAGCAGTGTGACAAACGCAACCAAGCAAGCAGTGTAGCAACTCTGTCGCCAGACCGAGACGATGCGAGGACTGCGAAGGAGGCGTCCTGGACAGACGAGGACGTCGTCTAGAAAGAAATGCTCTAGAAAGAAATGCGAAAACTCGGCCTGCCTCGTCGTCTGGAAGGATGCGAAGTCGACGCGACGACATGAGCACCGCGACATGAGCACCGACGTCGACGAAGACGAAGCAGGGAAATAGAAACGCGAGATAGATCCGTGTAGTAGAAAGGAGATCCGTGTAACAGTATATATATATATAATTGCTCAAGAAAAACCAACTCTATTCATTAAAAACTTGGGCTTATATAGAGCCTACAACATTCTTTACAAATAAATTCCTAGACTTCTTCTATATTTCTTATTTACAAATAGGACCCTAAAGTATGTACAATTCTCTATATTGCCCCTTAAGATGGGCAAAAGATATCCACTAAGCCCATCTTGTCACACAACCTAGATAAATCTAATGAGCTGTTCATTTGTGAGGAAGTCAGCTACCTACGCTCTAGTACCTACATTACTTATCTTCAGCAATACACTATTTGTATTCTCCTTGATGAAGAACCTATCAATCTTCTCATGCTTTGTTCTGTCATGTTGCACCGGGTTGTTGGCAATGCTGATTGTTGAATTCTTGTCGCACAACTTCATTTGAGCTCCTTGGTCCACCTTAAGCTCTACCAATTGAGCTGTTAGCTATAACATCTCGGCAACTCCTAAGGCCATAGCTTTGTACTATGCCTCTAGCGTCGAACTCACGACTACCGAGTGCTTCTTGCTATTCCAAGAGCCCAAATTGCCCCCTACGAACATGTAGTATCTTGATGTGGATCTTCTATCATATGCATAGAACAATCAGAGTCATAATAGTCTTGAATGCCTATTTTTCTTGAAGATCAATTCCTTCTCTAGTGCACTTTTTAGGTACCTTAGAATATGATACACTGCATCCATGTGACCCTTTCTCGGATCATACATGTAGTTACTTGCCACACTTACTGCAAATGATATGGCGGGACGAGTATGACTCATATTGATGAGATAATCTACCAACCTCCGGTACCTCTCACGATCAACTAGCTCTCCTGTCTCTGTGCACTCATTTTCCTTCTGATCAATTGATGAAACTGCAGACTTGCATCTCCACATGCTTGTCACTGTGAGCAAGTCTAGCACATACTTCTTCTGAGATAGAGCAATCACCTTTGCTCCTTTTTTTCCGTTGCAATGCAACCCAGTAGAGCAGCGCACGAAGTTGCTGCTTTCTCCTACCTCTGCAAACAAGGCACTGTTCCTACCATCACCGAACTTTTTCTTCTTCTTCAGTATTGATTTTGACTTCATGCTTGCTGCACGATAGCAGTGTCAGCTTCAATAACTCCTAGCAACTCACAGCAAGCGCGACGTTGACTCCACCTTTTTTGTATATAGCACGAAGTCATCTTAAGCATGAAATCAAAGACTTTCTCTCTTTTCTTCTTCTTCTTCTTCTTCTTCTTCTTTTTTCTCTTCTTCTCTACACCAAAGTAGCTCCCCTTCTCTTATGATTTCTTCTTTTCTTTTCTTCTTGGACTTCTTCTTCCTTACTCGGCTAGGGCACAACCTCTATTCTCGATCTTTCTGCTCTCCATCTCGCTCGCTCTTCTGTTTGGAATGAGAGGAAGTTTGGAAGGAGTGTGAGTTAAGATTCCTATGAGGGGGCGTGACCTTCCGAACTAACACTTATTTTATTTATTAGTATTATAATCATTTATTTGTTTAACATCATTTATTACAATCTCCCCTCCTTATACTTTTGAAAATAAACATGAAATCAAACGTACCTCAAATAAAAACCTGTGGATATCTTTCTTTCATTTCAGATACCTTCTCTCTTGTTGCATCCTTCTCCGACCCATGCCCCCATAAAATCTTCACAAAAGGGATCTTTTTGTTTCGCAGTTTGTTCACATCATAATCCAAAATTCTTTCGGACTCCTCAACATAAGTCAAATCAGGGTTAATATCAATTGAGTCTGCTATCACCATTCTAGCTTCATCTCCAATATATTTTATGAGTGAAGAAATATGGGAAAATATTATGCACTCCCTGCATATTTGTTGGTAAAGCCAATCTGTATTTTAAAAGATTGATCTAAGATTAGGCTATCACCAACTAAGGATTAGAAAAGAAGACATAACGAAGACTGCTTTCAGGACCAAATATGGGAACTATGAATTCGTATTGATGTCATTTAGACCGACAAATGCTCTAGCAGTTTTCATGGACCTGATGACTAGTGACTTCAGGCAATTTCTGGATACTTTTGTGATCATTTTTATAGATAATATTTTAATGTATTTTAGTGATGAAGTCAGCCATGCAGATCATTGGCATGCTATGCTACTAGTTTTGAAAGAGAACAAACTTTATGCCAAATTGTTTAAATGTATGTTTTGGATTAAAAATGTGGCTTTTCTTAAGCACATTATCAATGAAGATGGCATATCTGTGGATCATAATAAGATTAAGGCGATTGCATATTGGCCAAGCCCTACTACTGTAACGGAGGTCAGGAGATTTCTAGGCATGGCTGGTTATTATAGGAGATTTGTTCAGGGGTTCTAACAGATTGCTACGCCATTGTCAAGGTTGACTCAGAAGGCAGTGAATTTTGTATGGTTCGATTGTTTTGAGGAGGTTTTTCAAAATCTAAAGACTTGCTTTATGTCTGATTCAATTTTAGTCATTCCTTCAAGTTCAAATGGGTTTCAAATTTTCAGCGACGCGCCTTTGAGGTTTGGGTTGTGTGCATAAGCAGCAAAGAAGGGTCATTGTATATCCATCACACAACAACTGAAGAATCACAAAAAGAACTATCTCACACATGACTTGGAGCTTCCTGTAGTTGTATTTGCACTCAAAATATGGAGGCATTATTTATACGGCGTTAGATGCGAAATTTTTACTGGTCACCAGACTTAGAAGTATATCTTTAGTCAGAAAAAGTTGAACCCGAGGTAAAGGAAATGGCTAAAATTTATTAAAGGTTGTAATTTAGATATTCAGTATCAACCAGGGAAGACAAATGTTGTGGAAGATGCGCTGAGTAGAAAAGCTTCAGGTAACTTGAATTATTTATTT